TTTATCTTAAGTGTACCCTTTTCAAGATTTTGTAACAAATGAAACATTTTTATCATACATATAGATATTGCCTATCAAACGTATTTGCCCGAAACAGTGCAAAATATTTTTTCAGGGCATGTTAAGTAATACATGATGCCATGTTGGCAGTAACTTATGCACAATGATTTCATTATGCACGATGATTACGTTTTGTAAAAGGGGAGTCCGTGGGCGACTGATTAAAGACGCTGACTTAACTTGCCCCTCGCCGCTGTAGGTTCGTATCCCGTCAGAGACTTTGGGTTCTTTCATGTGAATACGCTACCAAACTAGGTTACGGAAGTCAATGGTTATACTAAGGTGCCCGTTTATGTCCGAACAGGCATCTGAAGATTTCTCTCTATCAGTTAACCTGGCAAGTACATTGTATAACATCAATTAGAAATGTAGTATTTTTATCAACTCGACACTGTAGCTTCAATAATATGATCATATCTATGCTAATACAAGTACTAATTAATCTCTATCTTAAATATACGGACAGTCATGTTTTTTTATTGGAAATAGCAATCATCTTAATTTTTATTATGGTTATTTTAACAAACAAAAATACAATTCATTACATGTAGGAATTAACGGACTTAAGTTGTTATGGAATTGAAATGTAATATCAACAAATAAGCACATGTATTATTTTTGAAAAATCTTTCGTGCAACAATTGTAGTGAATACCACATTTATGAAGCAAGCAAATGTAATACAAGAAAAGCTTTTATGCAAAGCATCAAAGGCGACGCCAAAAAAAATGATCAAGTTTAGCACATAAATACTTAACAAAAGATGTGTACTTTATAGCAGTACCATTACATTTGACTTGGAGGCTAGGCCCAGTTTAAGTTGAAACTTAAACCAAAAAGAATAGAATCTGTCTTGCCAAGATGCAAAGACAATTTATAGTCAATTAACCAATCTTATAAGACTCATGCCATAAAAGAGAATTTCTTCAGATTTATTTTACCAGATACAAGGATACCTGAGTCATCAGTATATAATAAAAGCTTATTGCTTAGGGTTGCAGACATGTCATTGACATATTAGACATAAAAGAGGACCTAAAATGAATCTCAAGGGGACACCATAGGTACTCGGAGCAGCAGTAGAATGAGTACCAGCCACATCCACCAGCTGATGTCTTTCAGAGATAAGACTTGAATCATGTAAGAATGTCATTACCTATGGCAGATACTTGAAGTATCATGAAGAAGAAGAAGAACTTCTTCATGTGCATGCAGTATAGTGTAATCAACTGTATCAAATGCCTTTTGTAGATCTAAAAGTATCGTGCAATACTGCATTTGTCCATTTCAAATTTAATACAATCTGTTAAATGAATCAAACATGTGTCAGTTGATAAACCATTTTAAACCCTGACTGAAACTGCCTGACCATGACTCGTACCCATGACTTTCAGAAAACCAACTGAGCTATCCGGCTGGCTACACATTTTCTCTTTCATAATAAAACAGTTCTAAACCACAACATATTTCCCCACTATATTGATTTGTGTCCTTGAATTTCTGATGTTTACAGATCATAGAGAATAAATCTCAGGGTTATATGCAGTCACAGGATCAGATTGACCAGAACTCGAACCTGTGACTCACACGAACCTGTGATTGAGCTATCTGGCCGCTTACACATTTTCTCCCCTAAATAGTGAACAGTTCTAAACCGTGACAGATATTTTTAGATTTTTAAATTAACAGGTAGGTTAATTCGTAATTGAACAAATAAGAAAAAAACACTTACATACTCATAGTCTTAAATAACAAAATAACAATTTATATATTGTATAATTATTTTTATTTAAAAGGGCTTAGACAGTTATTGGTTGTGCCATTATTTATAACAGGTCAATTTGAAAGTGAACATAACTGTACTAATACATGTACAATATCTATTTTTTGTACAGATAAAAAACTCTGTCTTTCAGAGATAAGACTTGAATCATGTAAGAATGTCATTACCTATGGCAGATACTTGAAGTATCATGAAGAAGAAGAAGAACTTCTTCATGTGCATGCAGTATAGTGTAATCAACTGTATCAAATGCCTTTTGTAGATCTAAAAGTATCGTGCAATACTGCATTTGTCCATTTCAAATTTAATACAATCTGTTAAATGAATCAAACATGTGTCAGTTGATAAACCATTTTAAACCCTGCCTGACCATGACTCGTACCCATGACTTTCAGAAAACCAACTGAGCTATCCGGCTGGCTACACATTTTCTCTTTCATAATAAAACAGTTCTAAACCACAACATATTTCCCCACTATATTGATTTGTGTCCTTGAATTTCTGATGTTTACAGATCATAGAGAATAAATCTCAGGGTTATATGCAGTCACAGGATCAGATTGACCAGAACTCGAACCTGTGACTCACACGAACCTGTGATTGAGCTATCTGGCCGCTTACACATTTTCTCCCCTAAATAGTGAACAGTTCTAAACCGTGACAGATATTTTTAGATTTTTAAATTAACAGGTAGGTTAATTCGTAATTGAACAAATAAGAAAAAAACACTTACATACTCATAGTCTTAAATAACAAAATAACAATTTATATATTGTATAATTATTTTTATTTAAAAGGGCTTAGACAGTTATTGGTTGTGCCATTATTTATAACAGGTCAATTTGAAAGTGAACATAACTGTACTAATACATGTACAATATCTATTTTTTGTACAGATAAAAAACTAACCTTTATTCTATGATAAGAAATTTTATGAAGGCTGATTTGTATTTTGCATCAGGGGCACCGGGCGAAAACATGAAAATGCAATAAACGAACCACTTTGTGGTAAATTATATTTTCATGTTTTCATCTGGGGCCCGGTTACTTTTTGTTCTTTGTTGGTTTTCATGTGGCACAAATCACCCACTATAAAATTTAGTGCACAAGTCTTTAAATACAGAAATACACATTATATCCATATACTAAGATACACATGTATGCACATTACATTAATAATTCCAAGTTTCCATTAAAATGAATATTACATCCTATTAATTGGTACTTGGATGGAATTCATTATCTTGTAGAAAGAAAACTATAATGTATAGTATAAAAGTAAAAAATATCAAATAATCTATATCAAATAATAAAGATTGAGTTGTGTGTCTAAACATTGAATGCATATCTCTTGCAGTAACAAATACTGTCCCCCTTTTAACCTTCCATTAGACTTTACTATATAACTAACTACATATATATCAAGTGTTTAAAATTGATAACTCCAGGATGTTATCCTTTCTCTGTTTTAATATATGGACATGAGCACCTACATTTTCTACCTTAAAGTTTCCTTTTTTGTACGAAATCTGCTGTGGTCATAGTAATATTTTTACAATAGGTTTACCTCTTGCATTTGGTTGCTATTTCTAATCATGGTCATGCAACTACATAGTTAGGTTAAGAAGCAGGCGCTTGTTTTGGTTGAGTCTATTATGTTTTGTTTAGGGGGTGAGTTGTCATACACAAATTTACAATTTATATGCATTTATTTTTTTCCAATGATTTTTATTATCTTAAATGCTTCTGGGATTGTTGTTTTATTAATTCATTTGTAAATAAGATTGTTATATGTCTATTAACGGAATAATTTTAATGAACACGAAATTAGTTCACACCTTTATGTGTATTGATAACGTGATGGTTTAAGCCAATGAAAACACATCAATATTATTACAATCAGACAGAGAAAAGTTTGCAAAGAGTAAATCGATAATCTTTATGTAGCAAACAAACTTTGAATTGCAAGTATTTTTTCCATATCTTTTCGGCAGGATAAACTGTCCGAGGAGAGCCAGTACGGAAGAAAATATATAATTCTAACATTCCTCATGATTTGGCACTAAACTCAAAGCTTTGGCCAGTTTGTAAAAATAATTAAATCATACAAAAAATAGATCACCTTTCATGTCGATGCCTCAAGAAATGTTTTAATGTTTTTCTTTTTAATTTCTTTTTATTTAGCTTTAAAAATGGTTGGTCTTACTAGCCGGATGGTCTTATGAAGGGTTTAAGTATTAAGATAATTGGGTAAAATCTCATAACATTAAAACATTAATTTATTTTAACAGACAAGGTCACACTTTCTCAGGATCATGGACACTATAGAGAGATTTTATATATTGTTGTAAATCTAAACCTCGATATTTTTTTCTTTCTAATTCAAAGCTTGTTTTTATCAGCATTTGGTGATAAGAAATTGCGCTACTTGACTCTATTGCATATTTATTTCTATGATTTTTTCTACAAATTGGACAAATATGAACATTTTTAATGTAATGTTGAAACATCTTTTGTGAACATTTGAAAGGCAGCAATTCGTTTTATAAAAGTGCAATCCGAATTTCATGTATTGAATTGTATCTGTTATGTGGCATACAAGATACATTTCTGTAACTAATGTCTTGTTGTAGTCATCTTTAATTTTAGATCTTTTAAAAATGTCATTTAATGTCTTGCTAGGCGTGTACAGGAAAATTTCTATGGGTTTGAATCTTAAATCAGAAGGAACTGTCTGTGAGGCATAAATATACCTATTAATCTTTGTGACTGTTTCACACGGACCACATTGAATGTAAATTGCCTTCAAGAAATGAAAGGAGAGTGGACTCCCTTGCCTCACGTAACCTTAAATTTCATCTACAACACAAAATGCGCAGAAATAAAAAGAAAATGTCACTATCGATTTGATTGGACGATTCTGCAGTAAAACTCTTAAATTATTTTTATTTTCGTTGTCGTTTGTGAGGCACTGAAGGAAAATTCGACACTGGTTTTCTGATTGATGTAAAGATATACCTTTAATTTTAGGACAAGGTAAATCCAATATTTCTGGAATATCGTTCCTACTTTTTATATAATTTCCATTTGGTCTAAAATAATGTATGAAATATTCTGCTTTATCGACAAGGTAAAACAAATTTGTACAAAAAAAAATCTTTCGTGTGGGGAAGACATTTATTAAACAGTAATACAGAAAGAAAATCACATTTGACAAACCGTTTACAGAAATAAAAAATAGTATTCAATGTATGTGGTTATACAACAGGAACGTTTATTAATTCACATGTGTAATTTTAAATAACTTCATATTGCATGGATTAAATACTTATTCAAAACTTATAGTACTATTATTTAAGAAACGCGACTTAAATACACGGTACAATATATTTTGCTGAAATAACTGTAGCCTCTTACACTATTAAATAGTTTGTATGTTCGTATTTATCGATTCAATTTTACTTCGACTGTCACTTTCATGTCAGCTGTGATGACTGGCCTGAAAATAGATAAAACGTTTGTTATAAGGTAATTTGGAAAATTCAGTGTTTCTTTTGTGCATGACCTCATAATATTGATAAAAGCATATCCTTCAAAATGCCAATCTTAGAGGTCAACACCGACAAAGGACAAAACATATGACGACACACGGTATGTAAAAAGAAAACAAAATGCATATTTTGTCCTATATAGTATTGTGGTACGAGCCAAGTATTGTATCTAGTTTTTGGTCGTCTCTTAGTCTTCGAAAGGCGACATTCGATACACAAAATAATGCGAAACGACACAAGACATTTATTACAGGCATTTATTTCTAGAGTTGGGTATTATGTTAGCATACCAATCGCAACGCATCGACGATTATTCATTATAATCTCGGAATAAATACTAATTAAGAAAACTACTACTAAAAGTAGTTTTTCCACTTTTCTTCAGACTTAATGTAAAACAGAAGGTGTATTCTTTGTATAATAAGAAACCCATGTATGTGTATTTACTCCGAGAATATTATAAAGGAGTATTTTTCGAAAACTTGAAGATTCATGACAATCGCGTCTTATTTGCTAATAGTCATGTTATATGTCATAATGCGTTGTCATGTGATACATTGCAATTTCTGTCTAAGTATATGTGAAAACGTGATATCGCACAACATTTATGTTTCAATTAAAATCGCGTATAGTACAGAATACATTTAAGCTGCATCTAATAAATTTTACTCAAACAGAAATAACACCATTTCGAGAATTAAAGGGGTTTTGTATCGATTGGATTTCTATTTTGGTGTTTAGGTCACAAAAAGTATTACTTTTCTAAGTATAAATATTTAATCAGCCTCGTTGCGACGAAACTCCGCCTCTTGGTCAAATATTGATTATCAAAAATATAATTCTAACACTATCGGATTTTTTTCTATATTATAGCATAAAATCGGCTATTTCTCTATTTTGCCCATGTTATAACGGGACCAAAACCATGTGTTAACATAGTCACGCGCTCTTGTTATAGCCCAGTTTCACCTATGCGCAATACATACAGGGCCCAGTAAACAAACAAAAAAAATGACGATTTGGCCTGTTTGCCAAAGAGTCATGCGCTCTTGTTATATTGAAATTATTGATTCGAGGGCCTCAATCGCATTAAATACGGCGAGCAGCATTCAAGTAACTATGCCGGAAATACGGCGTATATACATCGCTATTCTCCGATTCTAAATTGTTAAGTATAAATATGTTATATTTTTATTCTATTTTTTTTATTCTATTTTGTTCTCTTTTTTTGTGTACATAATTATGTTCATAACATTGCCATTTCAATTATGTATCACTTTACTTTGTTTTGTAAACATTTGTTATATTGTTGTTTTCTCACATGCCCAGTTGGGCCTTGAGATATCAATAAAAACTTGAAAACTTAATCTTGGTTGTCGCCCTTTCTAAGAAACGGACAGTTGTCAATGTAAACAAATTACTGGCATTCAGTTTAACCCTCCGATTAACTTACAAAACAAGATAACACAAAACGAATATGAGAACATGTTGTTTTATTGATGCTTATGTTGATAAATGCTCTTTATATTTCTTTGAGAGATTAATGTTTAGTGCCTGATTTTTTTTATAAACTTGTGTGCTTGAAAAACCCCGATTCTGATGACGTCACTGATCTTTTTTCTACCGTCAATCTGAAATCATTCTAAGAATTTCTGAGGGTCATGTTTTGTATTGGGAAGAGTAATGTAACGTTGTTGTTTTTTTTCCTTGAGATAATATTTCTCCAATGTCAAGCTTTACAATATCAATTAAAATTCAAAATTTCGTTCGGTTCGTTGTTGGCCCCGGAAAAATAAAACGCATACGTAAAACATGTAGAATTGGATAAATACCGTCCAAGCAAAAGGATTTAATGTACTGGCATGCGAGCAGTTCCCGTACAAAAATCGTAGTTACTTAAACATTATTTTTTATTACGCTCACTCACCAAAATTTGAATGTTCACATCAATTTTCGGCTCGTCAAACAAATCATGGAAATTCCATCATGTTCTAAACATAGAATAACCCTTAGTTATGAGGCCTCATATGGGGTACCGAAATTATCCATTATTTTGTATGAAGAGAAGTAGTTCCCGTACATAAAATTTAACCCATTATAATTATACAATTTTATTATATCGGACCTATTTTTCATTTATAATTGTTGAACAGACCATTTTCTAAGAGATAAATAGATGTAATTCAGGAAATAGAAAGTAGATTAAACGCGTATATCTATTACCCGGTACCGTTACTCCAACGCATTCACATGCGATGGCATGCTTGTATGCATGCTATTTTACGCACCAAAGCCATAAAATTATTTTATATAGTAATATTGGTCAAAATTCTGATAATTAAACAAGTTTTCATCACATTGCCTACTTATCTGTAAACAGGTGGTATTTGTGGAAAACCCTTTATCATGCCTCACGTGTAAGTATTTTTGCGCATGCGCGCAAGGACGGAATCCCCCAGAGAAAACAAGGTCACGTTTTGACAACGCACAGGTGAAAGTGATTTAAAATGAGACTTTTTATACGTATTGCCGAACTGACACTTAGATTTTGTCTCGTGTATGTATCTGCTTGATTTGAAATGAATTTTTGAAGACTGCAAGTAAAAATCAAGCGTTTAAATGAAAAATACGGGTACTGCTTCTGTACGGGAACTGCTCGCATGCCAGTATTGTGTTTTGTATTAAATATACATCATGAATCTGTTTTAAAATTTTATGCTATAATAGCGTCAACGCACGTTAATTTCGTGTTATAAAGTCTGCAGAGTCCCTCAGAACTGTTGGAGCCCTCGCCCTACCGGGCTCGGGCACCAACCGTTCCTCGGGACTCTGCAGACGTTATAACACGGAAAAACGTGCGTTAACCCTATATAAGCAAAGAAGGCCCGAAGCGTACATTATTCTACAACAATGCACTCGCCGTTCTTATTACCTCTCTGTGTATTTTCACATTGAGGGCGCCATTTTTTTTAAACGTCTGATAAATAAAAACATTTCTTGTCGAATTTTTTTGTGAAAGCTATCTAGAATGAAAGAAAATGGTCTAACTAAGAAAATGAATCCGAACACCAATATCTTTAATTCAGTCGTTAACGCTGTACAGGCGTTTAAAGTGTTGTTTACGTGACGTCACGATGTAGCGCCAAACAGCACGTGCAAAACAATCAAATCAAGTACGCTAATTTAATGTCACAAACGAGTTAAGTTTTACATTTATTTCACTTTTAATAATTTGTATTTCGCTTTAAAAATTATAGAGTGAAATAAAATAAACAAACAAAGTTTTATCAACGTTTTCAAAATGCGTTATTCTCAAAATGTTTCTACACACGGTAGATTTAACGACAGATTTATCAACCCACTGGAACAGCCTTTAAAGAACGTTTCTATTGGAAACTCTGAGGCGAAAACAAATTTAACCACCAAACATAAAGTCCAACTTTATAATAATAATTACATTTTTTCTTGACGTGTTAGAATGGAAATAGGTATTAATTCTTCGTGCATTATTGTATAATAATGCACGTTTTTCGTTCAAATGCTTTGTAATTAATCACTCAGGCCTATCGGCCTTCGTGATTAAATTACTACGCATTTGAACTCAAACCGTGCATTATTCTACAACAATGCACTCAGAATTGATATCTATTTCCTAAACAAACTCAGTAGAGTAATCAGAATTATATCTGCTGTTATTGGTTTAACCGCAGTTCACCGAGGAGTTGTAACAAAAAAGATTGTTTTTACACCTGGTATAAATGGGGAAACATTTTCGTGTTTCAGATAACAACTATAAATTTCTGAAAAATTAACGATAAGGCGATCCATTTGCCTGTGCACATGTCTGAACTATCTATAGACTTGATAATCGTATAAAGGTTCGTATACGAACCTTAGTGTTACCGTGGTTTTTTTTTCTTTTAAATCATTATTTCTGAACAATTATTTATCAGATTTACAACATTAATGTTAAAAAGATTAACTTAATTTTAGAATTTATAGTTTTTTTACCGACAACAAAATATTTTTATTCTTTTACTAAATGCAGCTTAAATATCAAAGTTATAGTCACGTGGGAAATAAACGCGTGTATACAATCAGTTACGCCATACACACCATGGATTCATGAAGCAAGCTAATAAAGGAAGAAGTGACCCAGTATAGCAGTTTCCCGAAACATCCCGGCATAATAATGTTGTCATAGTTTTCTGTTGTTTTGCATATTGACCTGGGACACAACAGTTGCCTCACAACATTGGTTAAGATTTTAGTTTCAAATTGATTGTTGTAGGTTTGAATCTTAATGACGCATTATTTCTTTTTACAGATTATATTTTTGCGAAACTTGACTACGACTGAACAAAATGAAATTATGAAAATTTACCTATACATCTATATATCAAAGTTATGATTTTTTTTAAAAAGACACAAGAATTTATAAAAATTTATTCATCTACTAATGTTGCATATAATTGAGAGAAAAAAAGACATCTGAATATGAGAAAACTTTGGGATTTTACATATTTACCACTAGGTCATCGGGATGTTTTATAAAGTATCGAGAACTTTCCTATCATTAAAAATCAGTTAGTAAAACGTAATAAATTATGAAAACTAACGAAAAAGCTTCCGAAAAATAATGAGTCCCAGGTCAATATTGGCAAACATACCTTGAATATTAAGTTTTCCAAAATATAACGTTTAGGCAGAAAAAGGGTCATGTAGCACGCACATGCTCACGGTAATTAATTTTAATTGTGTCACATTCGTGGGTAACGTTTTTTTACAGACATACATTGTAGTGTCATGTATATGTTTCAATTACATTAATGTAATCCAAGGAAGCAAAAAAGTGCCACTTTCGCGAAAACGTTTAAGTATGCTCACGATATGGGATACAATCGAGTTTTTAGTTGGTAAAAAAATCGGGTTCTCAGCTCATATGAAACAAATTTGAATTATGTCATAAAAAGGACTTTAATTTGAAGATATAAAAATAATTTTAATGACATTACGCGAAAAAAAATCGGAAACTGACTCAAATGTTGATTTATGTCTTTAAGTTTTCTTATGTTATACCACTGATTCTAATTTAATATCATGTAATTAAAGTCCGTGATTATACAGTATATTCACAGTATTCTCTTTACCCAGTACACGCCGCTGCGGATGTCTGTTAAAAATGAGAAGAGGTGTAAGAAACTGCCGATCTTGGACTACTAAAGAAACTAGATTTTTCTGTACTTGGGGAAACGATTTCTTCCGTGAGCGCGGTGATTTGTTTTTACAAAAAGTACGTCAAATCGTGACATTATATTGATACTCATACTTAGCATGTCTTAAGTGAAATATAGAATCAAACTCAGGTCAAATGACCTGAGAAATCGATTTTTTCTTTCCTCTGGTTATTTTCTACGACTTGTTTTACTCAAAACACAATTATATCTGCTGTAGAATTTTAATCTAGACATGGCAGGTTCGATTCCCGGGATGGCCAACAAAAATACTAAAATAGTCTTGTCAGATGAGACTTTAAATGGAGGTCCCGTGTATGAATGCTTAATCACTTGGCACGCTAGAAAACCAGGAGAAACTTTTGGAATTGGGGCATCTTTCTGTATCTTTTGCTTTTCTCCAAAATCTAAAAAAATGACAAACATTCTTTGAAGACTCGCCCAAATGGGCAACAGATGGCGAGAATAGATAAACACACACACACGTACGCACGCACGCGCACGCACACACGCACACACACACACACACACACACCATCTAGAGTATACACTTGGAGATGTGCAAAAACGGAAGTAATTCAAGTAATTCAACGGAAGTAAGAGTATTGATTTCTCTTTATCATTTACAAACACAAAATGTTTTCACCATAACGTATTAACTTCTTACTTACATTTCATTGCAATAAGTGCCAGGCCGAAACGTCGTGATTAATGGTTGAAATCTTCAGAAGAACAGCTCACAAACCGATAAAAGTGTGTGTGATGACAAACTAAAAATTTATCATCGTTGAAAATTACCTGTAAGTAGAGATAAAACTTTTTCATTTAAGTCAGGCAATCTACGAATACGACATGAAAGTAATGTGTTTGTAAGTTTGAAAAAGGATTAATGTAAGTTGGAAATGCGCAAGGTTAATGCACATTTCTGCACATGTAAGAGCTGTGGTTTAAAAGTAAAACAAGAAACTTACTTTTTATGAATTTTGTAATTAAATTTACAGAAATATTTTCATTTCTAATATCATAATTGTTTTACATTTAAAATGTTTAACTAACTTTCTATCACACGTATTTATCATGCATGTTTATAGCATACAAGACTTTTCACTCCGCAATATCATTATACCAATAAAAATTTGATATAGCGCAGATATCAGACCATCTCAAGAAAAATTCTTACATTTCACTGCAACTAGTGTTATCTGCCTTCAATCACCAATCTACTCACACAACAAGACAGCTCACAAACGATAACCGATTCAATCGTTGAAAAACACCTGTAGGTAGACAAAACAGTTTAAAATATAAAAATTACCCAATAAATATTAAAGAAGAAAATTTTATAAACTGACTATATTTATTAAGAAATATTTCTTACGACATTTCACTATTACAGACCATTTTTAATAGAACATATCTTTTATTCACACGCAGGTACATGAATATATCATTTCCTACAACAAGGTACTATTATATGATTTACAATACCACAAACGGATACAGTATACGGTCAATGATTATTACAAAAAAAATTCAAACTTCTGACACATTAAATAGTCATCGTGTTAAAATAGGTAGTCAGATAGTTAACGCGATAATTATATGGTTAACTGTTGGCAGAAATGTGCCACCAAAAAAGAGAGGCATTGGTATCTTATCACGTGTCCGGGATCTATTTCAGAAATTCTTTTATAGCTGTGCCCTTACAGCTTCTTTTTCCCCGAAATATTTCATTGTAATTGAATTAGCATTGAAACACGAGGATATCTGATTTTGTACGAGGAGGGTAACCCCCGAGTATAAATCAGATTGCCGAGTGTTTTGATGTTCTTTCTCTTTTTGTATTTTCTGATCGAAGATCAGGAAATACAGTGCCAACATTCAATATCTGGAATAGCGCTTCCCTGCAACCCTAACAACAAAAAGTAGTTCTCAAGAAAGCTTACAATGAGCGATGTAAAAGAAAGAAATATTTTTATTTTGTGACAAATATCCAGCCAATTTAAAGTTTAAAAGTAGCTTTGGCTTATAGAATTGTCAATTAATGCACAAACACAAAATACGCGGATGAATATCATTTTAATCAATGAAAATTGCTCGGCTACTTCCGTAAAGCTTCGGATTTATTTGATCGGAATGAAACACCGCTTAAATAAACATTTTTTTAAATAAAAAATTAAGGATGTTGACTCAAAAACAGGGAAGAATTTAGGGCAGTCGACGATCGATTATCAATTTCGACCATAAGAAACGGTCTTATTAGTTAAGCCCCCGAATCCACGTAAACAAAGCGCTATTTTTTTGCGATGTCACTATGGCGTATTATACAAATAAATCTGACTGTCGAGTACTTAAATATTATATACAAATCGGGCGAGATTTTCGTTAAATTATTTACATCAGCGTTGAACAACAGGTTCGCCGTGAACAAAATATCTCGAGGTCTTGGGTTCAAATGCCAGTCAAGGCAACCATTTTTTAAAAGACTTTTAAGCGATTTTAACATTTTTTTTCTTAAGGATTAGCCACGATATGAAAGGATAAAGCGTGGCTGTCAGAAAAACTGTACAAAATGATTTAGAAACTCTGGTCATGCAAAATTTCGTTACTGTTAGAGCAAAAAAAAATCTAAACGCAAGGCAGTCGCTGCAACTCGGTGCCGTTCAAGATGAATTATAGTATATAAAAAAACTTATACAGGAAAATACATACAGATATACTAGATTTCCAAAGATCAGAAAATACCACAGAGCTTGCAGGCCTTTGACTTATCATTCGCAAACATAAAAATACGCTCCTTGTTGTCACAATATGAAATCACAGAAAAAAGAACCAATGAACAAATATCTGAATATGGTATTTCTATCGCTATCCCTTATACCCCAGAAAAATATGAAATCATCTGGAGCGGGGTAACTAATACCTGCACCCACTTGCTGCACTGTGCATGTATTTGTATACAATTTAACTCTGATATATTTTCAATGGAAAGGTCCCTAAACTATTATACAAATACGATTTAATACACCAAAGTAAGGCATTATGGCCATCAGAAAAGATTATGTGAAAATTTACTAGATCATATTATGAACTTTTGCCTGAAGTTACTTACACCGCCTACATCCATGTGGAACTTTATCATAAATTCTCACGGAATTTACTTTTATATTAGGTGGATAATGTTGACACAATTAAACATTAAACTATCCGAAAAGTATTGTACAACATTAGAATCAGTAATCAAAATAAATCAGGTTTAATAATCTGTAAAAAAGAAAGTACAATAGAAAATGTATTTCTAGTTGAGGTCTCTTGTTAACTTTCGTTTCGAACAAGATTGTCTCACATATAGAACGAAATTTTAATGCTTTCTCAATATACAATGTATATCATATATTTTTCGATGAATTTTTACCAATAATATCAAGAGCAAGACTGGTAATAATTATCTGTACTCCTCAGAGTAATTACAAGCAATCTGACAAATTCTTTAAAGCTGTAATACAGAGCTGATATAGTAATATATATAGTAACAAGTGTATTAATGCTGTTTTATACACTTGTTACTATATATAGTAACAAAATCGCCTATGATTTCAACTGATTATGAGTGTCACGTGACCTATTATGAGTTTGCGGCCCGGGGCCGAGAACTAGTTATCAGCCCGCTGAGCATGTGCACGTGCACAAACTAAAACAATGAGGTCACATTTTACGTCATCAAATAGTTAACTGTAAAAGTGAAAGAAAGTTTTAAGCATGAATTGCTTGATTTTATTGTGAGAGGTGAAGCGTATTTCGTACACACACAGTTTTATTACTACTGAAATTTAAAGAAATAATACGACAAATTCATTCCGAAAGGAACGAAATACTGTATAGATTCTACAGTAGTGTACTGTGAACATAGTAAAACAACTTTATCTATTGAAGTTACCGTACTGTACAGTACGGTAGAAAAGCAGACAGGAATTTCAACGAAATAAATTTCAAAGTATTTTTTTTTGGAAAAATTCTACAATCAAGTGTATCAATTTGATAAGAGATTAATACACGGCAGAGTAGGGCCGGAAGGTGATAATCGGCCCTGAAATAAATAATGCCCTCGGGCTGAATATAATATAAATTTAATATAATGAAATTTCATAAAAATGAATGAATTATGTTGCATCCATCGATTCTCGAAGTTGTAACCCAAAATATTTTTGTTCATTAACACACACACACACACGCACGCACGCACGCACGCACGCACGCACGCACGCACACACACACACACACACACACACACGTGAAAACTGTACGTTAACACAATAAAATCTTCTGGAACAAAATAGCTCTATTATGTAAACTTTAAGTATTTTTTACAGTTTAGACACGCTTTCAATCAAGCTATAATTTTGATAAGGTACGTAGGTCGTTTACAAACGTTAATTCAGTTGTCCACTCAGTAAACAACTTCTGTGTATTTGCGTTTATTTTTACTCGCCACCGATTACCATATGGGCGAGTTCTCCAGAAGAGTGTTAGTCATTTTAGATTTTTGAGGATCGTGCCAGATACAAATACAGAAAGCTGTCCCGATTCCAGAAGCTGCTCCTGGTTCTTTAGCGTGCCAAGTGTTTAGGCACTCATACACGGAACCTCGATTTAAAGTCTATCCGAAAGACTGATTAGTAATTTTAGTTGGTCAGCCTGGGAATTGAACCTACAGGTCTCTTACCGATTGAGCTATGCGAATTGGCTAAATAAAACTACAGATAATTACAATACAAAACAATTACAATAATACTTTAGCGAGTCGCTAATAAGAAGTATGTCGGTAGAAACATCATACACGCCGGATTAACGCGTGGTTGCTGTACAACACGTGTTTCCACGTAACTAGTTAAGCATAATCATCTCCACGGCTTTACAATGTCCATGTTTTCATATTATCTCATTTTATATACACGGGGGAGAATCACGCCGTTCGTTATCCAAACAAACAAGGTGGCGGATGCAGCCAAAAAGTAAATGTTTCCCTTTTTTCTCTCTGAAATTCGTAATGTTCTAGTGTTAAGGTAGCCTACATATAACAACCTTCTCCACAATTTTCCGGGCACACAGGATTTTATTTCATGATGTTTTGTCCGGTACTTCATCTGAAATGCGGGTCACCAGATTCGAAGCGAGAGAATTTTCTACCGGTTTGATCGTGGTAATGTACGGCTTCTTCTCTAAAATTCACTGTTTCGTTTACATATATAAATATATATTAACTGAAACCACTGACTTTAAAAAGTTGTAATATGTCGTCATCTAAGCGTTCATGCCCATTCTGACTAAAATAACCGCTGTAAATATTCTTATGGGGAATGATAACGTATGGCGCACAAATATCAATGATAACGTACGGCGCATTTTTCTGCATAATAGAGTTTAGAACAATATATCAGTAAGTTTTGGATAGAAAAGTTTTTTATGTTTCTTGCTCAGGTCTTTCCAGACATAAGAGAATGTGTAGAACCAAATAAAGAAACTGAATATTATTTAGTGTTTGCATAATAATATCTGTCCGGATAGAAATACCTAAATTCGATATGTCATCACGATTAATATGTTTTCTTATCATACTCGAAATAGAGCAGCTATCGCACTTTTTATGGTTTGTAAAGTGTCGTCAAAAGTTAAACTTGATCCCAAAGTTCAAATATCTATGTGTTAGTGTTCATCCGTGCTGTTCTACAGAAATTAGAAACTTCGACGGGAGCAAAGCGATCGGAGAATGTTTCTAATTTCTATAGAACAGCTACGGATGAATACTAAGATACTTAGTGTTAACCTTTATTTGGCTTCATTTATGACGTCTCTACACCTAATTTTACGAACGCGGTTCTATGAAGCACTATGAAAAATAGAAGGCTTCTATGAACGGACTTTAATATAGTATCGACTTTTGTTCACTTAATAAGCGTCCAACTGTATTTGTCATCCGATGGAAACGCTGTATTTCTTCAAAATTATGTGTGTTAATTTTCATAGAAGCACAAAAGTAGAAACTATATCAAATTCCGTTCATAATCGTCCTTATTTGTCACAGTGCTTCATAGAACCGCGTTTGTAAAAATAGTCATTTGCGTAAATTTGCACATGCGCTTTCGTCGGCCGCTTTTGAATATTCATTAAGTAAAAATGACGTCAAAAGGCCAACCTATATTATTTTTCTTTATTTATGCATAAAAGATATACATGCAGTTCAGATTTAAATTCACGTCTTGGCGATAATGATACTGTA